AGCTGTGCCCTCTGAACCTGGCTGCAGACAAATTAAACTGTTTCCTGTCTTAGGTGCCTAGCTTCATCTGTCCCTACAACAGAGGAAGTTTCCTTCTAGTCCTATTTTGCTGAGGTTTTTTGTTTTTTGTTTTTGTTTTTGTTTTGTTTTTTTTGGTGTGTGTGTGTGTGTGTGTGTGTGTGTGTGTGGTGTTGTTTTTAACCTGATGTTTGTTAACCTGGAGTTTATTTTCTGCTTGGAGCAAGGCACAATTATGGGGGTCAGGAAAGGCCACTGTGGTTTGGAGAGGAGGGGTCTCTGGCAATGTGCCTGTCATCTTCATGTGGAAGAACCCAGCTGGTCTCTGCTTGCCTAGCCTGTCAGTTGGAGTGGGCAAGAGTCAAACTAGCACCTTGGAAACACCCATCAGTGGACCACCAGATCAGGACTGAGGCCTGGCTCCGCTAGATGACCAGCTGCTTCCTCATGGTTTCTGGAGCCAGGTCACTGGTGACCATGCTGGTGAAGGTGGATTCCGAGTGTTCTGGGGACTCCAATACTGTGGCCATGAATGGAGCAGTGGACTTCCCAAAGAAGCAGCTGGCCCACCAGTGACCCGGGTGGCCTTGAGGAGACGCCGGTAGTAGTCATGAGTTGTCAGGAGTGAGTCACTGGAGAGGATGACCACTATGTTTCACCTATAGGCTATAAATAAACCTGTAAATTAACACCTATAAATAAACCTGGTTCAGGCTCCATTTCTTTGTTAAAAGCTATACCCGTMTGATCACCTTGGTCTGTGGTTGCCTCTACTCTGAAATTATGTTTTTGTTTTCTGTGATTATTTCCTGGTACTACTTTTCTTACCTTTTATTTCTCAGCCAGCCCATCCCTTCAGAGGGGAACCATTTCCCTTGAATCCTTTCCCTTGCCCACATGAGACATGGGTGARAATCTCATTGATTTCTAATTGACTACCATCATAGTCAGTGAACAGAACTGCATATAACTTAAATCTTTACATTATAAAGGTTGTCTTTATAGCCACAAATGTGGTCTAKCTTGGTAACTATTTTGTGATTCAATAAAAAATTATGAATATATATCATTCTGAAAAAAATCCATTGGTAGCATAAAGAATAGATGGAATTTCTTGCTTGCTATTTTATCCCTATAGACAAATTCTTAGGCATATAAATTCCCAGTAGATATTTGTTGAATGAATGAATGAATGAATGAAATAACTTTCCATTAAAATTTCAAACCTAAATAGATTGGCAAGGGGTAATCCTACTGGGTTCCACACTTTCAATACCTTTCTTCCCCATCATCATATAAATGCCTATTTTACTATAATGATGATCACAACTTCTGCTCCTGCAGCACATTACTCTCCTTACCCTTGGCATCTATCAATAATCTGATCAAGGACCATCACTCTCTTAAGGATATTGGAACCTGACTCGGTCTTTCTTTCTGTAAGGTCTCATACACAATCTCAGGTGATTTGGGATTCAGTTTACATTGTCACAATATAACATGTTATTCTCAAACTAAGCAGAAATTGGAATAGTAAAAACCTGATTATCTATAAAATAGATCATACAAAAAAACATAATCCTATGACTGAATTTAATTCTTATATATTTAATGAATATTTCAGTCAGGGGCTGTATATATTATCTGAAATAATATTGTGTCTCTAAATGTTATAACAGAGTTTGTAATGGAGAAAGAAATTGGCGTGTGTGTGTGTGTGTGTGTGTGTGTGTGTGTAATATTCATTCATTTGACCTTGATATTTTTTTACTAGACTTTCAAAATTCAGTGATTCTGCTTTAAAGTTTGCAGCTAAAAGTTGGTCCTGTTGACAGCTGCTGCCCAGTAAAATTTTTGCATGAGGAAAGAAAAATATAAATGCTATAGCTTGTTTGCTGAGCATTTAATTGTGTTCCAAAAATATGTTGCAGTGTTCAATCCTGGTATTTTAATGTGACTTTATTTGAAAACAGGGTCTTTGCAGATTTAATTTTAGCATTTTTATGAGGTTTTAATGACAATTTCTCATTTTGTTATTATAGTCAGAGGATTTAGCTATTATGGGTGAATATTTTTTATCTCAATGTGAATTTGGCCTTTAACATATCTGTGACAGTTTTCCATAAGGGTTAAAGATGTATATTTTATGAATTCTGGTTACACAGTTTATAAGTATGTAGTAGTCAAACTTGTTAGTTATGTTCCTTATATCCCTATAGAGCCATAAAATAGGTATATGCTTTTCTAGGAATAGTAAAAGAAAAAAAATGTGGACAGAGATTTTTAATCATGTCTGTCTTGGAAAGTTTATTTAAAGCATTAGAAGAAGGAAGAAGCAGACACTGTAGCTTGAGCTGAGAAAGCTGGACTGTTCTTTACTGATTCAAAAGTCTTCATGGTTCAAGCTCCTTTTGGAGGAGTTCCAGATTACTGAAAAAAATAATTTAACTAAAAGATATGGTATGGTTCCGGAAATGCTAAAATAACAACTCAAGGCATAATATTACCCTGTCATCAGTGGAATATTCAATATAGCAGCTCAAGGAGGTCTAATTTCCTTTGCAAATTTTACATGGGTCGCTGAATAAGACCACTGTGATCTCTGATTGCCTAAGGCCCACATACTGTAGGAACTCTGGTTTAAAAAACAAAATATTTATCTACTTTAAATTAAATCATTATGGCAATCCCTCTTTTGTTGGAAACTAGCATTGTCTATTAGTTTAGGGTCCCTCAAYTTGCCCCCTCTTCTCCTTGCTGAAAGGAATTGTGTACTAGAGACAAATTATCTTGTTGAACTTCAAATGTGTATGACTGACACTCTTAAAGACTCCTGATCRCCTTATTCAGTTAGTAATTCTTATCCCAAAAACTCTAAAGCAGATTTATAATCTAGATTTTCAATGAATGATCCTCAGTCTTTTTTTTTTTCCTTTTTAAAAAATCTTTTCCTCATTTAAGTCTGAATCAAGTGGCTAAACCAATGCATGACATCTGTTAGAAACAAAACCCAATGTTGTTTCTACTGGTGGTAGATATGTAATCGTAGTTGTTTGGGATTTTTTAACACATTCCTAGTATTTCCAACTTCACATAAGCATTCCACTCCTAAATGCTGAATTGATCTACCAGGACACACAATACTGAATACCCTTAAGCTCCTACAAACCACTGGAAAATCACTATATGTTCTTTATATGCTTCACTTAACACTTTGAATATCATGTCCACTGTCCTCTTTCTTGTACAAGCTTTCCCATCTCTGTCTGTCTGCACCAGGCTTCCTGGGGTCTTGCTCTCCCTTTCCTCTGCTACTGCCTGCTGAGAATTTTGCTTTGATGAATCAGTGTGACAAATCTTTTAGGTCACACTGCACTGACTTTTTTCACAAGGACACTTAAAAGACTCCACTTAGAGGGTTGTCAATTTCCTACATTACTCTCTTTTAAGGTAATTCTTCATGGGTGTTGAGTTATCACTTTTCATCTTAAAAAAAAAAAAATAACCATGCACCACTATGAGTGAGCAGAGTATCTGTGGTTTGTGAAGCAGAAAGTCAACCCACAGTCAGTCAGGAATGATTCTGTGTCACTGGAAGATGTGCATTTTAAAACGTGGCTGCCAATTATTTAATTCAGTTTCTTTTGTAGTTACAATGGGAGAAACCTTTATTGATATCTTTATTTCTGTCAAATCTAAAGCAATATTTTTCCTTTCTTGAGCAATTACAGTAGAGTGGTAGAGAAAATAAATGATCTAAGGTGACAGCTGCCATTACAGTCTCTTCATAAAGCTTGGCCAAAAAACAAGAAGCCCTCACACATCCAGTCCTCTCTTTATTGAGAGTGTATCTGTAAATAATTCAATCAACTTTTCTAGTTGCTTTCAGTTTTCAAAGAGGATGGTTTTSATACAGGTAGTCTGTTAAAATGAAATGCAAAGGTCTTTATTTATCCTTCAAAAAAATGGAGGTCTGCTTAAYATTTGCACAGGGGACTGATGTCTTTTCACATTGTAATCATGAGATTCCTCTTGTCACTCAATTTGCCTGACATATGTTACAATTACACATGAACTCAATTAGGTCCTAGAAAATACTTAATAATTAGGACATTCCTCATCTACAGGTAAGTGGACTTGAGAAGTTTCATATTTTATCCAATTACAAGAGTTGATGATTCTAGTGCTTTAAAACAGCAATTAGATTTTTATGGAATTTCTAAAATGTATGATTTTATTTTTTAAGACCTATAAGTTATATTTCTTAATAATTAAAAATTCTTTTGAATAAAATATTATGTAAATATTTAGTGTTATTTTCCATTCTTTAATGAAAGCCTAAGAAAATAGTTAACATAAAAGGATTGCATGTGTGTGAGGGTTTTATAAGGGTGAACAAACAAGAATATTCAGACTGATGTCATGTAAATAGATTCTTGAGACCATGTCATTAATATGAGTTAGAATTTCCAGGGCAGGATCATTAGATTACGTTGGATTAACAACTCCATTACATAAATATCAAGATCATGCATTTTCTGAACATAGAATCGGTATTTGATTGAATGATAAACAGAATCCAGCTGGTGTCCTTTGAGACATCTGATGTTTGGGAGATATTTGCCAGGCCAGACTAACAGACTAATCACATAATGGATGTATAAGTGAATGAAAGAATTAGATATATGTATTTAAAAACTTCATTCATTCTATCCTTAATCTAATGTAGACAGTTTAAAAATGACATGACCAAATTATTTTGAAAATAATAGAAATTATTCTCTTAAAGCAATTCTTTCAATGAGCAGTGTAATATCCATTACTTAATGCAGTGGAGGCATAGGAATTAGTATTTGTCCATCTCTGCATTCAATCTCCTTTTAATTGAAGAAATATTAAGTGCCATACACACATACATACATATCTCTCTCTGTGTGTGTATTATATATACACACACACAGAGATAGACATACATATGAATATATATGTTTATGTATATCTATATCTATATCTATATATATGTATATCAATCTTGGTGGAAGACAGTAAAGATAAAATGGTAAGAAAAACAAATACAGTCATTTGGCTTCAAGCACTTTAAATTGTATGAGTTAACAGTGTTTCAAATGTCAATTGGAACTGGTATTATTCACTGAACACCATCTCCTCCCTGCAATGAATATATATCCTAATAAACACCTGTTTACTGCAGCACATCATTTTACAGCTTTGACCACTGAGTTCTCTTTCAATTGGCAACTGTGTCCCTTTATCCTACCACCAATGTATTGTTGCTTGAGAACTTTCTTATTATATGGGATTGCAAGATGCCCCAATTAATCTTGTTTAATATCTGCTCCATTCCTAAAGTCAGATATTTTACTAAAGACTCCAAATTTCTTTTATTGAAAAATTGGATTATAAACCAACATCTAGGTGTGAGGTATGCTTATTGCTCTATGTGTATCATTTTTAGGGCTTCTTGGCTTACAAAATGATTAAAAGAAATACACATGTATATACTATTGTTTAAAATGGACTGCCAAACAGAACTGGGTCCACTTTTCTAAAGTTTA